AAAGCCTTTGTAGAGCACCAGCAAAGTAATCAACCATTATTAGATGAAAATAACAACACTGATGATGAAGATGAGTCAAATGACGACTCTTATTCTAGTTCCAGTGAATCAGATGAGGGATCAACTAAACATATAACCAGTTCCATTGTCAAACCAACTGTTGAAAGTATACCAAAACTGAAACTCAAAGTTCATCCCGATTTCACAGCTGATAAGGGTTATTCTCCCTTTTCATTAAAACATTATATTAAGAGTCCACCTACAGACGTGAAAGTGATATCTTATGATCGTGGCAACCACAAAACATCTAGTGCTATCAACCATGTAAAACATAGTCCTTCTCAGACAAGACAGTACTTAAGGAGTGACAAGTCAAAAGATGCTGCAAAAAATCATGTTAAAAAGAAACCACCTCCTAAAAAGATTTTATTAAAGATGATACAAAAGGATGGGAAAACAACAGACAATTCCAAAGTTAAATGTACTTATCAAAAACAAATTGTGTTAAAGAAATATGGATTGTTGTTTCCTGGACGTAAAAATAAAAATAACTTAAAACACACTAAAACATCTCCACCAAACATTACCAACAATATTAGTGGTCTGAGTCCTTTATTGACCGAGGACAGATTGAATAGTAGTGTCCCAAAGACAGAATGTGATAGTCATTATTTCTGTCAACAAGGTGAAGGGCTGTCAAGAAACAGTCCAGAGGCAGCTAAAAGTGTCATTTCTTCTCCAGCTAATGCGTCTGTTGGGGAAAATTCTATAACTGATCCTTGTATTTCTCCTCTCTATGACCCTGGTATTGATAACCTTGTCACTCATGAACATAACGATCAAGTAAAACAGACTTCTGTGAAAACCAATACTGCAACACACCTTCAACAGAACATCAACACCGGTAAAAATAGTAAAAAACAATCTACCCTTGTAGGGAATGAGAAATATATTAGGCAATGTTATACTTCTAGTCAACATCCTGCAAGCTCAAAAGATTTACAAAATGCAAGTGATATGCCATGCCAATCAAATGACAAAAATAACAAATGTTCAAAAACTAAAAGAAAACCAAGAAACTCTGTGAATTTGAACAAAAAAAAGAGACGTTATTCAGGATATAATTCTGATCCTGATTTTGAAGTTGATAATACTGAGGCTCACAGTGTAATAGAGGAACCAGTTGTTGATCGCAGAAAACGGTCCCGTCTGAAACATAACAATTCCTGCCAATGTTGTATCAATAAAAGCGTTCAGTTTTCGAGGACTCAAACTTTAAGGTGCAATACATCAATATATGAACATTTATCAAAACCGAATCAAAATTTTATTTACCATTCGATTCAACAGTCAAATGTAAAAAGTAAACTTTATTTGTTTTTCTGTTCTGTGTTTCCTAAACTTGTGCCCATCTTACATTCAATGACACCAGAATCTCAAGGATTTTATCTTTTTATTAATGAAATGTTAGAGTGTCTTCAATCTGCAGAGAAAGAACAATTAACTGTAAATACTGTTGATGTTATTAATTTATTACAAGAAATGGACATTCAGAATGAGTGTCAAACTATTCCAGTGTTTCAACCAGATGTGATATTGTGCCAGAATCCAGAAAGGTGTTTTTCCATATTTCGTGATAAAGTTGTTAAGTTGTTACAGTTGTTGTTACCGTCTTTAGTTGTGAGTTTGGATGGATATTTATCTACAACAAAGGATCTTGAATTATTTTTAGATAAATTATTATCCAGCAATTGTTGAATATATATGCTTATAATGTCCATTTCATCTAATTTTTTCAATCTTGTCTTTTTCATTTGTCTTCTTTTATTTGTTTTTGTTAAACTTATCTAATGAAGGTGATCAACTGTTATGGGCTGAAATTGACAACCCGGTTTCCCCCTGTCAGTGATGCAGGTAAGAGGGACTGACAAGGAAAAAGCGTCTAGTCGTTCGGATGGGACAATAAACCGAGGCCCTGTGTGCTACAGGCTGTGTACGTTAAAGATCCCTCGACAGTTTTGAATCGAAAAAGAGCAGGCTAATGCCGCTGTCCTGGCAAAATTTCCTTCATTGCACCCTGCATGGTGTTGCCCGTCTTCATTAGCCCACATGGTGCAGAAAAGTAGGACGTAAAACTCCATTCATTTCACATTTTAACATTGGAAATTTTTTCAAGCTTAGATTAAAGCTATATGTATATAGTTTTGGTAAAAATAGCTGAAAATGTAAGATATACATGCAAATGGCTACTGGTACTCCGGTATTTCAAGAAATATATATAGATACAGCAACGATATTTGCACATTCATACTTTATTTTTAGATACTGGTATCATAAGTATTTGTACTAATAATTTAAGTCTTGACTTTTACCCAAAAATAATTTGATCTTCACGTGATCATGTCTTGAATCACATGTGCACAATTGTCTGCTTGTTTATAGCACTGTACACCAGATTTGTATACCATACAAACAGGGCTGAACCCTTTGTGAACTACAAACAGAAATTTTATGGGAGGTATTAGGGGGTGAAAGCTGACAATTGGCTAACTCTTGGAAACACTATATTTGAGATTATGTTCATTAATTAGGGCCATTGTTTTTTATTACGTACTTCATGCTAAGGTACCCTTGAACAAATATTATTTTATAAATTATTTGCATTATTTATTATTGTAGACATCCCTAATTGAATACTTTAAAAAAATAATTTAAAATCAATGTAGACGCTTACGTTTGTTTAAAGGATATTAAATAATCTGCATCCTTTTTTTTTTCTTGCTTAAGTGGCCTGGTAGTCCTCAATTTCAGCCATATCATTATTTGCAAGGGGTATTCCGCTTTTTATTTTTCATTGTCAAAAATGTCGTAAATTATACGTGAAATATTTCTTAAGTATGCTATTTATATCTATATAAAAATCTGATTTTGGTGTATAGTTTTCCCAGATTTGAGCCAAGAGTTTTTTCGATCTACAAAAAAGCAGAATGTCCCTTTAAAGATAATGATATTCAAATTGTTAGAATGTTTTTAGTTTTTGAATCCATGGAATTTTTGAATCATGGTTCTGAAATGTGATATGAATTGCTGAAATAATGCTTACGTGATGGAACAAACAATTAGACATTATTATATTTTGAGATCGAGATCTTATTTTTTGTGGCTTTTTCTTTAACTGAACTGTGGTTTTTCAGTCTGTAAGGTTATATGGTTTATATTTGAAATTATGAAATCTGTTTTACAACAAATATTGAAATGATTTCAATTTGATAGAAAATCCTAACATTTGATAATGATATATTTTTATTTATTTGTAAATTGAATTTGATTTTGCTAATTTTTATACGTTCACATGAAATGGGGGTGTATATTGGCATCACATACGTCTGTCCGTCCATCCGCAATTATTAGTAAACACATGTAAGGCACAATTCTTGACATATTTGACAAAGCATGGTGTGAGTGTTTGTTATCACCCAAGGATAAACGCAGAAAAGTTGTTCTTGAAAACTTTTTACCTCGGTATCACTTTAGAAGGCACAATTTTCGACGAAACTTGGTGTGAGTGTTTGTAATCAACCAATATTTGATATGAATTATTGCCCTTTATCTTGGAATTCAATTTTTAGCACGTTAACACTTCTTGATGGATTTTGATGAAACTTGGTGTGAGAGTTTGTAATCACCCAAGGATGAACCCCATTGAAAATCAGGAAAATCTGAAAATATTTAGTAGGAATTATTTCCCTAACTCTTGAAATGTGTTCAAGTTTTAGCCTTTAAATACTCGAGAAGGCAAAATTCTTCAGTTTTGACAAAATTGGATGAACCTTATTGAAAGTAAAAAAATATATATATAAAAATATTTTATATGAGTTTTTGACCTGATTCTTGAAAATGTTTTCAATTTTTAGCTTGAAACACTAAAAGGAAGGATTTTTTGCCGGATTTCGACAAAGCTTGGTAATAATGTTCAGTATCGCCCACATTTTTCAAAAGAAGTAGACAAAATCATAGAATAAATATTAACTGATCTAATATTTTCTACATTGTGCATTATTTCTTTTTGGATGAGTTTGATTTGAAAAGTGCAAAGCAAGGACAAATTTATGGGCATTTTGTGGATGCTTTACTAGGTGAATATAGTTTATATAACAAAAAACAAAAACACAAGACAATATTATGGAATATAACACACTTCTTTAATAAGGTTGGGCAAAAAAAAAATATGTACAAGAGTTACCTCCCTTCAACTGTTGATATTTGATTGTGTAGTCCTAATTAATATATTTTTACACATCCTGGTCAGATACAAAGCATAAACATGTGCATTCCATTTTAGGTAGTTTAAATTATAATGATCAGGAAGAATATGATAACAATTCTTATTTATTCTTCTAAGACTGCTTATGGCTATGATTTGAAATGACCAGGATGAGCAAAAATATAACTTTCTTGACCACACTTATAATGTAGTATGCACCCAAAAGCACTTTGTATATTTTCTTTCCAATTTGGATTTGGTTTAGGTGAATTCGTACATATTCATTTATTGGAGGCCTTTGTATTAATAAGGAATTGAATTAAACTTGGACTATAGTCCCTGGTTTGGTGAAAACTGATGAATGCTGTAAGGACATGCAAGTAGTTAAAATCAAATATTTCCAATTTGGAATTTGCATTATATAGAGCTTAAAGGGGCATTCTGCTTGAATTTCAACGTGTAAACTGGGCTTATTATGTGTGATAGTATATGTATGTCCTTTGTATAGTTTTTATCCGTCGACCTGGCGACAAATTTTAGAATTGCTGTGTTATAAAATACATGGACAGAGTATTTTGAACTACTGACTACTCTTTACTTTCGGAGGTACATTAGTGAAATCGCTGCTGATTGGTTATTAACAATCAGTGGTCCAATCAGAATTCATTTCTCATTATCAAATAAAGGCTAATACAGTTAAAATAGATTCTGGGGGATTCACAATACTTACCTAACCAGTTAAGACTATTGTAGCTGTTTGTGACTTAATGCTTCCTCCTCTATTTGTTGGCATGCATGGTGTATCTCATGCTCCAAACCACAAAAACTGATTGAAAAAAGCAGAATGCCCCTTTAAGACTAAATTTGTAATATAATCTGTCTGATCTATGTTAAGATTCTGTGTTAACAAGAAATGTCCAACAAATGGTTGCATTGTATATAATGATGCAGTTGAAATTGACACGGTTGTTTTGCCTGACTTATATAGAGTTGTTTCTCATTGTACTTAAATGCTTTTGCTGCTTCAGACAACAAGTGTTTTTTCCAAACCTTGATATGTCCTTTATCGTAAAATTAATCCCACAAATGTGCATGTATGATGATTGGCTGCTTGATTCATAACTTATTCACGCTTCCATTTATATTAGCATAATTTTATTATTAAAAAAATATATGAAAAAAAAACCCCAAAAATTGTATTACAGTAGTTGATATTCATCTTAATAATAAGAAGCAGATGAATATCCTCTTTTGATAAAAATAGTTATTTTAACATGCTGAATAACTCTCATATTTTACCTCTTCACCTGGCAATTCCAATGCATTTTCTTTGAATTTTCAGAAATTGATTAAATTGGTATAATCGTATTGTAATATATTTCAGTGAGGTTGACATGCACTGATTGTGACGAATTTCAGTTAGTTTGATAAACATTTATTGTAATGCATTTCAGTAAGGTAGATAAACATTTATTGTAATGTACGTCAGTTGGGTTGATATAGAACTGTTGCAGTGTATTTCAGTTAGGTTGATATACATCTATTGTAATGTATTTCAGTAAGGTTGATATACACCTATTGCGATGTATTTCAGTAAGGTTGACACACATCTGTTGTATTTCAGATATAAACCTATTGTTCTCTGTTCATTTTGGTTGATATACACCTATTGAAACGAATTTCAGTTAGGTTGATAGACACTTATTGTAATTTAAGTTGATATCCACCTGGTCTAATGTATTTCAGTTAGGTTGATGTACACTTGTTCTAAATTATTTCAATTAAGTTGATGTCCACCTGGTCTAATGTATTTCAGTTAGGTTGATATACACCTATTGTAATATATTTCAGTTAAGTTGATGTACACTTGTTCTAAATTATTTCAATTAAGTTGATATCGACCTGGTCTAATGTATTTCAGTTAGGTTGATATACACCTATTGTAACGTATTTCAGTTAGGTTGATATACATCTATTGTAATGTATTTCAGTAAGGTTGATATACACCTATTGCGATGTATTTAAGTAAGGTTGACACACATCTGTTGTATTTCAAATATAAACCTATTGTTCTCTGTTTCATTTTGGTTGATATACACCTATTGAAACGAATTTCAGTTAGGTTGATAGACACTTATTGTAATTTAAGTTGATATCCACCTGGTCTAATGTATTTCAGTTAGGTTGATATATCAAAAATATATCATTGAAATTAAAAAACATATATTCAAATCTTTTTGAAATACATGTAGGCCTATTTAAAACAGGCCTGCATTCAAATTGATTTGTTTCTATGTGGTCTACTAGCATTTCAATATGACATAGGTGTATTTCAAAGAGATCAATTCTATTCCAATAAAGCAAACATGTATTTTTTTTTGTTAAGTTATTCCATAGTTTTCGGTATACTGATCCTGAAGTGTGTACTTAAAAATGGAATTTAAAAAAATGGTCTTTGAATCTGGTTATCTCATAAGTTTGTATTGAGAGATATATAAATTTTATCCATTGTTTTATTATATGTTGAATGTTTTAACCGATGCCTACACAATGTAAATTAATTCAAGTCCATTGTATATTTGTACATATTTATGTCATCATTTTTTGTAGTGTCCTGTTGACTACATTGTAATTGTGAATAAATTTTATTCAATGTAAAAGAATTTTTAACTCTGTTTGTATGCCAACATGAAATTGGGAGCATAAATTGGCGTCACACATGTCCGTTCCTCTTTAATTGCTCGTAAATACTGTTGAAGGCTTGACGTCACTCTTGAAAGATTTTAATGTCACTCTTGAAGGATTTTAACAAAACTTGGAATGAGTATTTGTTATCACCCAAGGATTAACCCAATAGAAAATCAGATAAATCGAAAAATATTTAGGCAAGTGATTCTTTACCCTTGTTCCTGAAAACATGTTCATGTTTAAGCTTGTAAACGCTCTAAAAAGCACGATTGTCAATGGAATTTTACACAACCTGGTGAAATTGGTGAATTCCAAGTATTGAATCTATTAAAAATAAAAAATTCAAGAACTCAATATGAATTTTGCTTGATAATTGAGACTATGATACAAGAACAATTGTTTTGCTTATTGGACAATCAAGGCTACGACCTTTGTGAATTTCGGTCTAAGGGGGACAACATTCGAATCCGAGGCACTTGAAGATGTACGGAAATCAACGAGTGGTGCCGCATAATACATTCGGCTCTCAAGTAATTTCCGTAAATCTTAACCGGAAACACATGACATATTTGATTAACCAGACTCAAACGTCTATAGCCCATTACAACCTTTAGTTCGAGACTGTTGGATGTAAACAAACATGGCCGACATCGAGCACATTTTCAGAAATAATTCTGAATTTCTGACTGTAAAAGCGAATACACGAAGAACTGCTTTATTTTTACCTTCCTGCAAGTTGATCAACTATCTAGGCAAGTTTTTTGTGTGTTGTCACGTGTTTTGACTGCAGGTTAAACACACTACAATCATTCCAGTGTCCAGAACTTGTACTCTCTATAGTCAATGATGAGACTTCATTCATTGAATACCACCATATTTTCTGATAAAGTGGTATAATCGGTAATGAGTTGGATTGTTGCAAGGCTATAGGGTGCTATGGATTTGAATCATTTTGAAGTTTAGAAAATGATTCTTGGGCCAGTGCTTCTGAGTGCCGACTAACAACCTTCACCCTGTTAGAGTATGGTCTCCGTTGCCCTGATTACCTAATAAAAAATTGACTTGAACGGCATAATCCCTGACAAGAAAAGGACAGTAATTGTTGCTTCAATGGTAATCTGATGGTGCAAACATGTAGGATGATATATACCATTTTACTATTTTATTGTCTGACTTGTCATCCAATATTTATGTAATTGTAAGCTAGCTAGTGTTGTTTCTCTTGATTCTGCCATAAACACTCAGGACAATTCTTTATTTAAGTTTTACTAAGTTTACTAGTGTAGTGATGAGCCTGTCACACTCTACTTGTAAGATTTATGTTGTGATTTAATTCTTTCAGGATGAGATCAAGACATTGATGAAGGAGGAAAGTGAGAGAAGAAGGCGAACCGTTTGAAATGAAAAAAAGCGAAACCCAGTTTATTTCATCTATGATTTTTGTTTTATTTTTCTGTTTTTATTCAAAAATAAAATATTGCATTGAACTACATGATTTTTCTCAATAACCACCCCCTCTGAATTGAGAAGACATCTCCTGCTAAACACCATTTGCTGTGATCATTGAAAAAGGACACAAAAAGCCATTATAAACAGAATTGTCTTCTGTCGGCTACATTTTCCATCAATAAATATTTTTACAGTGTTGTAGGGGCCTGAGAAGGGTCAATTTCACATGGAAGAGTCCATTATAATTGTTTTGAGGGTGGATAGGAAGGAAATGGAGTTAAAATAGAATTTCCGAAAAGTGGAAGAGTCCAAACTGTTTTTGAAGAGTCCATTAGGTTTTTAAGGGGTGTACAGGAAGGATTTCCTGATTTCACATTTAAAACGAAAAACTGGAATAGTCCATTATAACCATGGAAGAGTCCATTTTGATTTATAGGGGTGGACAGGTATGAGTGGTTTTCGAAACAAAATGGCCATTTTTGGATTTTCGAATTTTCCCACGCCCTAGGTCAAACCTGGGTCAAATTTAGTGCAAAAAGGTCAAATAAGTAGGACACGGGGTTTTCCACTGGATTTTGGCAAGGGGGGATAGCTATGTTTTATTTTGGTTTTACAGCAATTTCTGCTGAAGTATGCATTATTTGCATGTTTTGAGCTTATTTTCAGTGTTTCTATATAAAGACACAATATTAGACTAAATTCTAGTGCTCTAGGTGTAAGAAATACACTGCAGCACATGAAAATAGCCCTGTGACCAAGAAACATGAAACAACCCAAGTGAAAGAGAGGCTGATCTCTGTCCAGTTGTAATTTGACCTTTAATTTCTGATTGGTCAAAATTATGCTCTTTTATATCTATTTGAAATGTAGACTTTTAAAAGACAAAGTCAAAGTTAGAGGGTGTGAAAGAGAAAGAACAAATACAAGAAATATTTATTTGATTTATTTTAACTTGAAGAAACCAGTTGAATATTGTCCTATCAAAACAACTCTTCAATATAGAATACAGGTGAAGTTGACCTCTAGGTCAAAGTTCACTTAATATTGGAAAGGAGCCAAACTTAATGATTTATGTCAAATTTCTAAACCACAGACTGAATTTTCTGGTTCTAGTCTATTTTCACATTTCCCTTTTTTCTAGTGTGACATTTCCTGTAAAATTCATCCAAATGTAAGCCTGCACATGCATGTTAATATATGGCACAAATAATTAAAGGGAAATAACTTGTTGTCCTTTCAGACCACAATGAAGGAGTTTATGGAAGCTGATCTATATTATTGTGATACCAGTTGAAATTAATCTGATTTTCCAGTCATTTTTTCCTCCAAAAGGAAATAATAAAACATGCCTGGAAAATAGAGATAGATTTCAACTACTCTCACATCCCTGTGTTTAAATTTTTGGAGTAATGATCCATATCAGGACAAAGACAATAACTAGGCGATTGGATTTGGACTGACAAATAACACCTTAAAGGATATAAAACAATGGTTTATTCTGATAGAATTTATTCATATTGAAGATTGTACAATAGATAAACACATAACACAGAAAATACAGAATGTCAACTACATTATCTTGAAAGTTATGATACAATATGAATACGGTCATCAGGCAACTGACCTATTTCTGTTTGTGTCCCTTCTTATAGTATTACCGGTATACTGTTATACTACTTATAATATTGTTTCATATGTTCCTAGCTCTGTATTTTAATTACAAATAGTGCTGTACACACAAAAAATACAGAAACAAAATATATACAGATATATTCTAATCAGATTGAGTGAAGTAACACACAGAAAATACAGAAACAAAATATATACAGCTGTATTTTAACTACAAAGATTGCTGTTACCCACAGAAAACAAAGAAACAAAATATCTAGAGCTGTATTCTCATTAGATTGAGTGCTGTTACCAACAGAAAATACACAAACAAAATATCAATGGCTGTATAACAATTAGTGCAATAGTGAAGTAACCCATAGAAAATAAATGATACAAAATATCTAGAGGTGTATCAAGTTGACTAAACAGAAAAAAAGACAGTGTAATATTTTAACATTTTCATCTTAGACATACCTGTAAATTAATATAAAGGTAACAAGACTGTCAGTCCAAATCGAAGAAACAGATTCAAAATACAACAACATACAATAAAGATAACAATAAATACAGAAAATATAACCTTGTACACCAGGTATGGTATTATAAATAGAAATTTCAATATTAAAAACCACCATTTTAACAACTAAAACTATAAACATAATAGTACACCTTGGTATTACATGTATAAATAGAATTTACAATATACAATATTAAAAAACAACCAAAACTATAAACATGATGTACACCTTTAAATAGAATTACAAGATTTAAAGGGGCAGTATGCAAAATTTTCATTATCAAAAACGTTGTAAATTATACTTGAAAATATTCCTTAATGCTTTTTTCATCTATGTATCTACTTGATCAAACTGAATATATATTGTACAATGAGGGAATTCCAGGACAGCGGCATTAGCCTACTCTAATTCAAATTCCAACTGTTTAGGGACAGCCTGTAGAACACAGGGCCTCCTTTAATTGTCCCATCCAAACGACTGGACGTTTTTTCCATGTTAGCTCCTTTGGCTTGCATTACTGACAGGGGACAAACCGGGTTGAAAATTTTAAAAATATCATCTAAACCTAGACCTTCAGGTAAGCAAGTTAGCGTCTAACTCATTGTGCCACATCAGTTTTCAAGGAATTGAGAGGAACATAAAGTCAGGAAATATAGATAATATCCATAGAAAGGTGTTCCTTATCAGCTGGTCCAATAGTTATACTTAGCATTGGCTCAAATCCTTCTTCACTGGCTGGTAATGCTGGGCTGGAAGCTTTCTTCACTGGCTAGAAGCCTTATTCATTGGCTGGTAATGCCGAGCTAGAAGCCTGCGGGATGTGGTCATAAGATAAGATAACTCAAACTCTGAAAGAAATTACAATTTCAAATAATAAAACCTTAATTTACATCTTAATTTAGGCATAAAAAAAAAAAATCAAAATGGCTTTCGTACAAAATTAAACACTGTGGAAATAATTTCTGTTCAAGCTTTTGTTTTTATTTAATTGTATTTTTTTCTATTATGTATCTGGAATATCCTGTCCAAAAATTATACAAATAAATTCATTTATAAGCAAGTGACAAAGTTTTGACTTTTATAGTCATTTCTCATAAAAGCTTGATGCAGGAAACAATTTTTATACGTGTAAAATGTGTAAAATTCTAAATTAACTATAACTTTCTTATTTCTTTAGATAAATTAGTTCTGTAAAAAGTTTTAAGTTTTGTCATTCTAACAAAAACCTGGAAAACAGAACGTAAAAAAAGCTGTTACCTGACTGTACTTTGTTGACACTATCTTGTTTCTGATTTAAGTAAAACCTTCAAAATAATCTTTGTCAAGTAACTTGAAAACTTTACAGATATTACAGGTTCTTCATATTTCCCAAAGCCTGAAAGGAATTACAATTATTATACAAGATATAAAGATAGCTTGCCAGGCAAGGTAATATACGCCCACTGGCAGCTTTGATTTTGAACAAAAATATTTAGCAGTACAGTAACAGTCACCAGTCATACACTTCTTTTGAACTCTTTAGGGCGATAATGAATAATATTGAGTATGAGTTATTGCCCTAGTTCTTGAAAACGTGTTCAATCTTTAGCTCGTGAAAATTCTAGAAGACAAATATTCAATCTTCAGTGCGGTAATGAATAATAAAACCAAGTTTTGTCAAAATTCAGCAAGAATCAGGCCTTCTAGAGTTTTTATGAGCTACAAATTGAACGAGTTTTCAAGATCAAGGGCAATAACTCATACTAAATATTTTTTCGATTTCTCTCATTTTCAATAGGCTTTATCCATGGGTGATAACAAACTCTCAAGCCAAATTTCTTTAAAATCTGTGAAGAATTGTGCCTTCTAGAGTGTTTACAAGCTAAAAATTGAACGCGTTTTCAAGAATAAGGGCAATAACTCATACTCAATATTTTTAGATTCTTCTGATTTTCAATAGGGTTCATCCTTGGGTGATAACCAACACTCAAGCCAAATTTCATTAAAATCCGTCAAGAATTGTCCCTTCTAGAGTGTTTACAAGCTAAAATTTGAACGTGTTTTCAAGAACAAGGGCTATAACTCATACTAAATATTTTTCAATTTTTCTTATTTTCAATAGAGTTCATCCATGGGTGATTATGAACACTCATACCATGTTAATTCAAAATCCATCAAGAATTGTGCCTTCTAGAGTGTTTACAAGCTAAAAATTGAACGCGTTTTCAAGAACAAGGGCAATAACTCATACTAAATATTTTTCAATTTTTCTGATTTTCAATAGGGTTCATCCTCGGGCGATAACGAACACTCATACCAAGTTTTATCAAAACCTGTCATGAATTGCACCTTCAAGAGTGTTTACAAGCGTTTCCAGAACAAGGGCAATAACTCATAGTAAATATTTTTCGATTCGTCTGATTTTCAATAAGGTTCATCCTTGGGTGATTACAAACAACCACACTAAGTTTCATCGAAATCAGTCAAGAATTGTGCCTTGTAGATTGTTAACGAGCAATTATGGACGGACGGACTGACCGATGGAAAGAGGTGACGACAATATACGCCCCCCATTTCATGTGGGCGTATAAAAATGGCTATACAGGCTACAATATTGCAACATGTGAAATTACTATAACTTTCTTATTTCTTTAGTTGAATTAGTTCTGTAAAAAGTAAAACCTGGGAAAAAAAAAAATTCAGCAAAAAAAATTGTTACCTGAACGATGTACTTTGTTGGCACTATTTTGTTTCTAAATGTTCTTACCAAAATCTTTGTCGAATAAACTTTATAAATATTACAGGCTCTTCGTATTTCAAAATCCTGAAAGAAATTACAGATCAAAACTTATTCCAAAACAAGACGAAGAGAAATTTGTAGTACAATCAAACCAAATCAAACACTGTAGAAATAATTTTTGAGCAGAAATTATTTCCATTGTTTTAATTTGTTCTATAATGTATCTGGGGCATCCTGACCAAATATTATACAAATATATTTATCCACAAGCAAATGACAACGTTTTCACTTTTACAACTTAACTTGACTACAAGCGCACCATCTCAAGATTTTTCTCTGTAGTTTAGGCTAAAGAAATACAAGCCAAGCTTTTAAATAAGTTTGCAGATCTCAGAGAAACTTAAAAGAATTTCCATATCAAGTCCAAACTCAAAAGCAATTGGAAACCTTTCTTTACGCAACAACTGTGCTGGAGATGTAGCACAAGGAAGAATTCCAAAACGTATAGACCCGTAAAAAAGGCTCTAAAAATGTCATTGCAAGTTGTTTCATCAGTCCAAAATAAACAGCAGATGTTTGATAGATGGAATATTCTAGAGAGGCCCAAAGGAAAAGAAAACAAAGCCAACAACTGAAACATTTAAATATTCTACTGATTTTTTTTTTTAAAATGAGAATGAAAATTTAACATGATTAGTCAGAACTGAAATTTGAACCCTGACCCTTGAAACTATCAGCTGGACTATAGACTGATCTTAAACTTCCTCAGGTTTAGTCTTATTAATTTAGACCTCCCAATGTGCCCGCTTGCTGAAGGAAATGGATACACAATGTTACACAATATTTACAATAGAAACCTGTTAAGTTTCATAAGCAATCTTTTTCAGTTTTCTTTATATGCCAAATGGGGACCGTATATTGGTGTCACCCATTATAACTGCAAAAGTTCAGGGTCTTACAATGTTAATGCACACAGGAATTTCAATGAATTCTATGAAGTTTATTCAAATTAAATTGAGCTGCACAAACAGAACTAATAACAGTAAAGAAGGGTAATACCTGAAGCTGAACTGCCATGCTGTGTTGTACCATAAACTGAAATATACAAATACAAATTTCTGTCAAAGTACAAGCATAAATCAATTAATGGATGACACCATACTATAATGACAATACATAATGATGTACTGCTAATACTATGTAAATAATAAGATGACAATACGTAATGATATAGGCCTAAGAACTGCAAATACTGTGTGAAGTCTTTACTACAAGAGAACGTAAATAAAGACCATATGGGAGATAACTCATTGAGCTCAACATGGGGAAATGAATTGTGGTCCGAGTAATGCCAGATATGACGGTTCCGTACCCTCATATTTACTTCCACAAATTACAATGACAACTGACAAGAACGTGAAAAATAAAGAAATATCAAATACCGTGTTATTAGATAAATGAAATAACTGTCAACAGGCTGAAAATGCTTTTACTTGACAAGGAAAGCATGCCATGAAAATTCTGGCACGTCAAGGGACTAATAATTAAGACTAGACGATGACCACAAAACGAAACAATACTGATGTTAAGCTTCACTGATAAGATAACGTTAAAAGTATGGAATCACGAATGCAGTATCAAAGAAACGAAGAAAAATAGCCGTAACACCCATGTCTGTCGGTCGGTCGACAAGCTCGAAAACACTCTAGAAGGCTAAATTTTCGACGGACTTTGACAAAACTTGGTTTGAGTGTTTGTAATCACCAAAGGATGAACTCTATTGAAAGTTAAAAAATCGATAAATACATGAGAACTTGCACGTGTCCTTGAAAATGTGTTTATTTTTTAGCCTGTAAACATTCTAGAAGGTACTATTCTCCACCGATTTTTACGAAACTTAGCAAAATTGTAAGCCTATATTATCACCAATGGATGAGTTATTTACCTCGTTTCTTGAAAACGCTTTCAATTTTTAGCTCATACGCAACAAAAGGCATGATTACTGTCGTTTTTTTGTGACAAAATTTGGTCAATATTGATCCCCCCAAAAAGCTCAGAAGAAGACTATTTCATACTGTGATTGTTACTGCAGCCTACTGCCAAATAATTTCATTCAAAATCAAATCGTCAATGGACATATATTACCTTGCTTGGCAACCTATCTTTTAAATAAAGCCTGAACTTTTTTGTGGGTTGAAAAAAGTGTTATCTCGGCTTATGCTGGCATTGAACCCTGGACCTTCAGGTTAGCGAGCAAGCGTAACCGCGACTCCAAGGCTAGAGCTGCGACACCCGGGAGAGAGACATGATTTTAAGGGTAGTCTCTCGGATAAGAACTGAGATTAAAACTTCTGCATAAACATTTATAAATAATATTTATATTTTGAAATTTACACAATACATTAATTATAACAGTAAATAAACCAATGAAGTAGGGTGTGATTGTTCATTCTGCTTATTGTTTCATCTGATAAACTACAAATTCTTTCATCAATATATGTTTTAAATATGTCTATAAATCTCCCACTCTCGATGCGTCAAAAATCAAAAATCAAAATCTACCAGAAGCTATTAATAGTCAGCAAGTTTCACAATATCATGATGCAAATTGGCTTTCTAATCAGGATCTTGGTCGTGTAACAGCGAAGAGAGGACTTTGGTAACCCTAATAATCTACCAAACAGATAATACAGATATACTTTGATTTCAACTATACAGGTCACTTTTCAAAATACATATCAAAGCAATAGCAAGAGGGGTGTGGAGAGCCTTGAGATGACCCAAGGTCCGGACGTCCATCCACAGCAACCATCCAAGAAAACGACCGCCTTAAACACATGGTGATGGATGACAGACGTTTAACTACATTTAATACCTTAACCATCTCCCGTGAATGAGTAGAGAATATTCTGCACAAAGAACTTTGCATATCAAAGCTTTTCGCTCAGATTGACGCCAGCCTGGTCGAAAGCACACCAGAGTGGTCATGTCAGACAGCAGTTTTTGAAGCAGATTCAGCCACTTTCCTTGAACGTTTCCTCAGCCAAGATGAGTGATGGACCGACCTCTCCGAGCCAGAGACCAAACAGCAGTCGATGTGGTGGAAACACTCCCCTCAAAGAAGGCAAATATTGTGACGTCGGCAAAGAAGGTGAGGGTCTCCGTCTTCTGGTATGCAAAGGACATTGTGTTCATTGATTGTCTTCAGAGAGGACAAACTATCAACGGGGATAGTACCGTACGCCAACTTGCTGATGCAGCTGCGAAAGGTAAACTGGCAAAAAGGGGCCCTGTTTCATCGGGACAATACTCCGGCTCACAAATCGGTGGTTTGAACTGGTTGATCACAAACCATATTCTCCTGATTTGGCACCATCCCAATATTTTCTTTAAAAGTCACTGGGGTTGGAAAGCGGTACCGGACTGATAATGAGGTCATATCTGCTGGTAAGGTCTTTTTTGGGACATCAGAATGAAGGCTTCTATGCCACAGGTATCCAAGCTCTACCACATCGCTGGAAGAAATGGGAAACTATGTTGAAAACTATTTATGGTTATATTGCACCATAACATCACTGTGAGGCCATGAACTTTTCAGCTCCCCCTCGTGTAATCAATTTGACATTGACCCCAAGCACAAGCACCAAGCGGAAGAAACTGACGCCGGGTGTGTGGGATGTTCACCGGCTGTCTCCTATAGCTTATTACAGATTTAGAATTAGATAGATAGGTAATGATTAGATCTTATATTTGAAATATGATATCTAGGGCAATATTCAAATCAGATATTCGAAATCAGATATCCAAGATAATATTAAAATCAGGTATCCATGATAATAATAAAATCAGATACCTTGATTAAGACATCTATAGAATCAGTATCTGCTATAATATTCATATCAAATAATTGAAACCAGATATCCATGATAATTGTCAAATCAGATATTTAGAATATAATTAGATCAGATAATAACATTAAATCAGACACCTAGAATAAAATATCTGAAGCCTGACATCCAAGCTAATAATCTCAAACATTTAAAAAAAAAAATTACAATAAGATATCCAAGACAATAAAACAAATATCTAGAATCAGATAATGATTATATCAGACATTCAAGATAATACTAATCAGATATGTAAGATAATGAGATATTTGAAATCACACATCCAAGATAAGAAAAATCAGACATCCAAGAGAATATTTAATCAGATAATAATCCATTCAGATATTCCGAAACCATATCAAAAGTTTCAGAATTAGACATCTAACAAATAGATAAAACTGAATCAGATATTATTTGCAATCAGATATCTAAGTAATTATTCGGCACCAATAATATTTTTAGATTCATACATCTAAAAACATTAAATATTGGCATTAGAAAAAATTACCTAAATGACAACACAAAGAATATGAACAACCATAGAATTTCTTTGAAGTTCAGACGCTTAATTTACTTAATTAATTATGGTCCTATTGTGAAAGTCTCTAATTAGACTATAAGGACAAAAGTCTTAAACAAAAGAGTTGAAATCATATATCGTGATTCTTCTTATGTAAGAAATGCTGACTTAACAACTATATCACATTATAATCGATATCAGCTATATCGACTCGCTGAAAGGGATGCCGATTTGATCAACCCTAATAATCTGCTAAGCATATGCTCTACATCAGATACGGTTTGATTTCAACCATACAGGTCACTTTTCAAAACACTATTCAGACCAATAATTCTTCTACACTCGCGGGAAGAGACGACAGTCTAAGTTTCAAGGCTTTTGTTAACTTCCTTACCAGTTCTTGGTACTCGAACGTAAAATTTGCATTTTGAAATGTGATTATGACAGTTGTAACTAGAATAGCTGACATCGCACATTAATCAAACTGTTCTTGATGCGACATGAAAATGGCGCTAGTGGAGAAGGTGAGAAAAAACTTCAATGTCATGTGTTATACGCAATGTGTCACAGAAACTCACGATGTTAATACTTTCTCCCTGTATATGATAGCAAAACCGTTTAGCAAAATCGCTTACACGAAGTTTAAATCATTTTAAGATACTGGGAAACCATAAAAGTGATACAACTAGCAAAAACTGCACACTGTTAGACAGTCTTCATTATTACCAATGTTTGTAATTGAATAACAGATGCATGTTGGGAGGGCTGGCGTCTAATCGAGGCCCCGTGTGCTATGGCTACAGGCTGGGCACTTCAAATACGAAAAAGAATATGCTGAGCAAGGGTCATGATATTAATATGCCTTATTGTACAATGAGAGTACAATGATTATGACGCAACACCATTTCTTTTCTATTTAATTATCAAGCCCTTGCATGATAATCGTGATAACTTCCAATCTTGTCTTTCTACTGAGTGCACTTGGGGCATTATTTCCAAGCTGTTGGTTAATGACCTGTAAGTAATGCGTTCTGCATGTAATGTATTCACAGTATTCCCAGCGGAGTTATCACAATGAAGGATTTCATACCACTGCCATATACGAATATATTTGAATTCTGTAGGAATATCAATGCACAGTCAGATAGACCTAGGCTACCTGGAGTGGCGTACGCATACAGAAGATAAAGGCAATATATAGGCCTAACATTTGGAGACCATACATTGTGTTTGTATCATGAATGGAATCTATGGGCAATGATTAAAATCCCACTCATTAAATTGTTTTCTGTCAGTGTGTGTATTACATGGAAAAATATCACGAAAGCAAGAGATTCGTTAAACACAGTTATATGGTTGGAATACTTTTTACACAATACACAGTTCTCTTTCTAATAATATAGAAATCAAATTTTACTAAGAAAACTCTTCAAGATCTGTCACTAACTCACAAGAACAACCCGTCTTGATTCGAATGTAATCTACCCTATACGGTTGGGAGATATTGAAATCCCGTACTATGGCGTACATATAAGTATACTTTTGAACACACCGCGAAATTGCTTGATATTTTTTGTCCAAAAATTGACATGTATTTTTAGCCACACCGGGTAAACATTTAGTTTGGTAAAAAGCCTGTATAGTCTTGTGATCTCTATACAATTCTAATAATTCATTGTTTCTAGATAAACCACCACGCGGATGGATTTTCTCTGTTATTGAAGGGCAACATTCTCCTATCCTCAGTTCCTTCTTCCTGAAAAGAGAAATAATGAAAATTTATTCAAATGGAAACAAATTGTTCATGTATAAATACACTAAAAAAATGTAACTTCAGCTTCAGTTTGTGATTGGATAATATGCTGATCGACATTTTACTCTTTCATACCGTAATCATAACCAGAGAGCTTGCCTAGTGCAATTCAATCATAGGAGAGATTGCCTAGTGCAATTTAGGCATAGCAAGAGAAATTGCCTAGTGCAATTAATCATAACAGGAGAGATTGCCCAGTGCAATTTAATCATAGCATTGCCCAGTGCAATTAAATCATAGCAGGAGGGCTTGCCTAGTGCGATTTTATCATAGCAAGAGAGATTGCCTAGTGCAATTTAATCATAACAGGAGGGCTTGCTAGTGCGATTTTATCATAGCAGGAGAGATTGCCCAGCGCAATTGCCCATAGCAAGAGAGAGTGCCTAGTGTAATTTTATCATAGAAGATATTGCCTAGACAAATTTAATCATAGAATGAGAGTGTCTAGAGAGATTTTATCATAGCAGGAGAGATTACCTAGTGCAGTTAAATAATATCAGGAGAACTTGTGCAATTTAAATCATTGCAGTACAGATTGCCTTCTGCAATTTAATCATAGCAGTTGGGCTTTCCCAGTGCAATATAATCATAGAAGGAGGGATTGCCAAGTGCAATATAATCATAGCAGGAGAGATTGTTTGGTTGTCTAATAAACGTATTCTTTGCAATATGTCTCCAAAGCTGGGAAACCACTATAGCATGTCAATTAAGTTTGGATTACTGAAACAGAGCCAACGGCATGGTATCTTTGTCTGCTATGTATTCACAAAACAGAATTCTTCTACCCAAACCTTTCCTTTAAAATAACTTATATGATTTGTATATTTTGTTACGGGTTAACGTAAATGCCCTATTATCTCTTGCGACATACTCGGCCGACAGTTAGTTAACTGTGTTAAGCAGAAGAATTGGTAGAAAATTTCTTATATTAAATGTGTATATAGCAGGCGATCAATGATCAATAGTGCTTCGATGTCTAGTTGATTTCTCTAATTGTAATTTAGGTTGTGGGTGGAATAAAAGATTCAATAAGAATAGCTTCAAGTCTATATATATCAAATACTTGGAGTCGTCTAGTTATCACACAATTGTCTTCTTTATTTCATTTCCTTTTCCATTTTAAAGACACATTCACACAATTTGCTCTTCTTAAAGAGTTTGCGAGTCGCATCTCGACTAAGCGGCTAGACAGCAAACTATGCCATTTGCCATGTTTAAGAAAATACTGTATGGAATCTTCTTGGTGTTGCTGTCAATATCTGAAAATTTGTTAGTAACTGTCTATCAATATCTGAATATTTTATTCGTCAGTTAATAATCGGCATACTTTGCCATGCATGTTCCTTGATAGGGCCTACATATGCAACCTTGATATGCATGTTTCCTGGCCATGCATGTAACCGCAATATATATGTAACCTTGTAATGTATGCTACCTTGTTAAGTATGGTATCTGGTTTGGGAGGTTACCTTATTATGCATGTTTCCTAGTCATTATTGTGGTATGTATATTTCAATCCCGGCATAAATCGAAATAATACCTTCGGATTTTTCAACCCGGTTTCCCCCTGTCAGTGATGCAGGTAAGAGGGGCTGACATGGAAAAAGCATGTAGTCGTTCGGATGGGACAATAAACCGAGGCCCCGTGTGCTACAGGCTGTGCACGTTAAAGATCCCTGGACAGTTGGAAATCGAAAAAGAGCAGGCTTATGCCGCTGTCCTGGCAAAATTTCCATCATGACACCCTGCACGGCGTTGCCCGTCTTCATTAGCCGACAAGGTACAGAAAAGTAGGACGTAAAACTCCATTCATTTTCTTTTTTGGTATGCATGTATGTTACGTTATTATGTGCGTGACGTGTACGTTACTTAGAGGTAAGTTACCTAGTCATATATGGTATCTTGTTATGCAGTTACCTACATGGGCGTACTAAGGCGTATCTAGCAGGGGAGGGGTCAAAAATTAGGTGTCTCACCGAGGCGAAAAGCGGTCGAGATCTAGAAGCCAACGGATTTCAGATGACCTGAGATGAATTTTGAGCATTTAGAGGGCGCCACTGTGGTCATGTAGGTTATATCTCGTTATGTAGGTATGCTGTCAAATACATGTTACCTTATCATGTACGGTAGCTGGTTAGGTAAGTTATCTTATCATGAAGGTGTTTAGCACATGTATTTGAGCAAGAATAGGGTCAGATTCCCATTTCTGTTCTTTCTATGATCTACAAAACCAAATCATATATATCAGAAGAAAGCCGATACATAACTTCCCTTAAGTTTAAATCTATTTGTTTTCTAATATATCAATGTCAATGTCAACGTTCTAAAAGAATTGTGCTAACATTTTACATTTCTTTAAAATGTAAACGTTATTAATCAAAAGAAATGCTTATAATGACTGGACGTTTCCTGAAATACCTCTCACCCACACTTAAAATGTTCCCCATTGTTATTTAAAAGAGAATAAACGTCAACATAGCGTGTTTAAGACGCATGTTTATTGTGCTGTTCTATATACGTCTATAAATATTAACCCTAAAACAGAGCTTGGAATTATTCATTTAAAACGGACATAGAGTCATGAAGATTAATTATTAAACACCTTTCTATTTCTCATTACTATATCCGTTACCGTTCTACTTACATTGACTACATTTTTTAACACTAAACAATTAAATTTGATAATCTAAATAAGATACTTATACATTGTCTGAATTTCTTTTGGGAGCCGCGGTGGCTCAGTAGCTTGATCGCAAACCTGAAGGTCTAATATTCAATATCGGCATGGGTCAGCGACGCAGGTCGGAGGGGCTGACAAAAAGCGTCTAGTAAAACGAGGTCCCATGTGCTACATTAATAACAGACTGATTCCGTAGACTATCCCTTCCATCGGGTATGCCTTTCTTTAATTAAAGACGAGCTACAAGTTGTATTTCCATTTCGGAAAGTGACATTCACAGTTTGAATCCCCAAATTAAGCCAATATTTACATAACTATGCCCTTTAAATAACTAAGAATGCAAGCAAGATAACGAGTTAAAGTCCATTCAATGGCAATTACTATTTTCTCAGAATATAAATAACAGTTTGAGAATTTCTGCATATCGGGGCTGTAGGACGTAAAACTTCATTTATCGCCGAGACAAGTAAAAGTCAATTCAATATAAATGAAGTTTGTGTCATCAGCTTCAAAACACCCACATCCTTTTCAACGACTTTAATCCACCTAATATCATTACCACCAAAGCCTTTTAGTCATCAGTTCATGTTAAAGCATTATCTGCTCTTACTTTCCACTCCACATATATAACTCCCCTCAGGCATATATACAAGAGTTTGTTTTAAGAACAAATTATCGACTCTAGTATTCATCGCTTTTCCTTATCCCCAGTCAGGTAATGTCTTCTTTGCATATTCGTAGTTTGTCTTGCCTATTTAAATTTGGAAATCAATTGCTATATACATCTCATTCGTCCACAGGATCAGAGGCCAGGTCAGATCAATATGATTAATTCCTTCCAAATAAATCAATAACAAATGACAGAAATAACCCTGAATACTCTAAATCAAATAAAATCAAATAAATCAAGATTTGCATGTAGTTAATGAAATCAGTGGGGGTGTAGGTCAACTTTCATGTTAGAAAATTCAGGAAATAAAATTAAAGGGTCAGTCAATGATAAAACTTCACGATTCACGTTTAAAATACAACACGATTCAGTTTTTGAACTTACAAAATCAGTTGGTCATATTTCATATTGCGATATCTGATTTTAATAGCCAAAAATCGAGGGTTATATTTCATATTTCATGTAAATAGGTTCGACCAATAAAGGGACTGTAGCTCATATTTCATACAATGCTCGACCAATGAGACTGAAGGTCATATTTCATGTAAACAGGTTCTATCAATGATACTGAAGGCCATATGTCAGATAACAAGCTTCGACCTAAGAGAAAAAATGATCTGTAGGCAATATTTCAGATAACAAAGTTCGACCAATGAGACAAAATGAACTGTGGGCAATATTTCAGATAACATGGTTCGACCTATGAGACAAAATGAACGATGGGCAATGTTTCAGATAACATGGTTCGACCAATGAGACAAAATGAACTGTGGGCAATATTTCATATAACATAGTTCGACCAATGAGACAAAATGAACTGTGGGCAATATTTCAGATAACATGGTTCGACCAATGAGACAAAATGAACTGTGGGCAATGTTTCAGATAACAAGGTTCGACAAATGAGACAAAATGAACTGTGGGGAATATTTCAGATAACGAGGTTCGACCAATGAGACAAAATGAAGTGTAGGCAATATTTCAAATTACAAGGTTCGACCAATGAGACAAAATGAAGTGTGGGCAATATTTCAGATAACATGGTTCGACCAATGAGATAAAATGAAGTGTTGGCAATATTTCAGATAACATGGTTCGACCAATGAGACAAAATGAACTGTGGGCAATATTTCAGATAACATGGTTCGACCAATGAGACAAAATGAAGTGTGGGCAATATTTCAGATAACAAGGTTCGACTAATGAGACAAAATGAACTGTGGGCAATATTTCAGATAACATGGTTCGACCAATGAGACAAAATGAACTGTGGGCAATATTTCAGATAACAAGGTTCGAGCAAAGAGACAAAATGTACTGTGTGCAATATTTCAGATAACAAGGTTCGACTAATGAGACCGAAGAGACTGTGGGTCATATATCATATAATAAAGTTCGACCAAGAAGACAAAATGAAATGTGCATTTCAAATGTAAAAAAAGACCAATGAGACGAAAGGGGCTGTGGGTCATATTTCAGATAACAATGTGCGACTAATGAGACAGGAGGACAACCTTTATTTATTGGACCCCGAAAAAAGCCCTTTCAATCAAAGTATGGATTTTCAAATCTTCGAGCTTCCTGATCAACGCATGTACTTTTCCAGCGTATGTAACCTGCTTACTAATATATACATGGGGAATTGTATTTAAATCTTTAACACTTCATGTACATTAAACCCATTTTCTAGATTCTCCTCTGAGACGTTGTGTAGACGTATGTCAGTTAAAAATTTGTATATGAAAATAAAGTGATTAGATTGTCTTAGAGAGAACCGCTTTTAAAAGTCAAACTTTATAGATCACTATGCAAATATAATCGGAAACTCTCAACATAGACAGGATATCAGTCGTTCTTCATATTATTCTTGTAGTTTCGTTTCAGTTTTCAGGACAGAATATGGAATTTAAATTATGGAAGGTGTAAAAAACACATGGAACGAAATAATAAGTATTAAATTGTCTGCAAGACCAACATCTTCACAATTACGAACTACGTCTAATATCCTGCCATCATTAGGCTCTTTTTCGTACCACGAAACTATCACAGCAATTTGATTGGATCGTACGATAGCGAATTCAGCTAATCAAGGCCCTCGACAAAAAGTGTGTAAAACCATAAAATCATAATGTTTAAGTCTTTATGTCGATGATTCTTATTGGCTCTAACGTAGAATCCAATCAAATCGATGTATTCCACAAAACAATGAACCCGATGAATTGGACCCAGTTCGGTTGATTTTGAGAAGATGAAAGACCGACTGCCCTTATCAAAATCATATACATGTATCTTATTAAATAACGGACACAATTTTATGGTATACTACTCCTAAAAATTGTGTCCGTTATTTAATGTGATCTCTACCCCTAAATGTCGCTAAAGGATTACATACATGTATCTGAAATAAGATGTTAAAGGAATTCCTGTCTGTGGATTTTCTGTAGACATGGCATGTTTACTCTGATGTCGTGTCAGTCTTGACATGCTAGTTGCGTTTGGGAATCGATGGACGGGCTGATTATTATGGTTGCCATTTATGCACTATGTTCACTTAACATTTACAATGACAAGGTAGGATGTAACACTCCCAATTGTCATTTGATTTGAAATTATGACGCACAAGACAATACCTATACGTGTGTCTGACTTCCTTTTGATACAGGATATGTTAAGTACAAGGGACTTTTAAACAAAAAGATTTCATCAAAGAAATATAAAGCATATCCGACGGACGACCTAATCAGATTAAGTTAAGATGTGTTAAAGATACTCAAATTTCATACGAAGGACTCATATCATAAAATCCCTCACTACGCATCACTCGTGGGTAGTAGATCTTACGGATGGCATCGTAATACGTCAGACACAAAGAGTTAAAAGGATATCCAGTTCCCTTTTGAACTTTTAAGATTTATGAATTAACTGACCCATGATATATCAACACAACCAAAATGGCTTCAGTTGATTTCTGATATTCTTACTTCATTTGAGAGCAATGGTTGATTACTGTTATCGGACCACAATCTGCTATAGCTCTTAGCTCGTTGGACATGTTAATTTCACACGAGCTCATCGAAGATACCTGGAATTTCGCCAGGTTCCATTACCACTATTTGTTTTGAGAATGAGCAGCCATTCATTGATACGATGTTATATTGAAGGTCATTTTCCCATCATTAACATGGAACTAATTTCTGCTTTAATGAACTGAATTCTCTTTGACCTGTCGAACTATTTCAAGTACACGTACGGAAACGATTGGACATGCCATTTCCTACCACACGAAAAACAAGACACTGAATTACTATAGTCATTGTAGTAATTAAGGTGCTGACGTACATTATATGACTGTCTTTGATGGATAATGCATGTTTGTTAGATTTTGCTATTATGAGATATGATCTATCCAGAAACATAAAACTTTATCATCATAATAATTTGTATAAGATAGAAACAGATGTCGCCGTTCCGTTCAATATTTCAAAAACTTTTAGTCTAGAACCACCTACCATCATTCGCATTGTGGACATTTTTTTTAGAATTGGTAAAATCCGACAATCAGTCGCCTTTTGAACGAAGATCATTTTTAAAATTTGATTTTTCCTGGCATTGATTTTGTAAACTTGCAATCCATCAGGACTGCGCCGTTTTAAAACATAAGTATGATTAGATGAGGGTTATTCACTTTATTTTACAATTCTAATTATAACCTGTCTTGCAAGATTTAGAATGATTTCAATCATTGATATAAAGTGATTAACGCCTTAAAATCGTGACTTTGTTGGTAAGGTAAATCTTTTGAAACGATCCGGGACATTTGAATACTAATCGAAATATTTTCCTGTACGATTTTTGAACGATATCTTTGAATGACAATGTTGAAATTTCATCAAATTTTTTCTCATTTGGAATTACAACATATCAGACTCATATTTCAGATTTATGTTTCTATTTTCTAATTTTTCCATTATATCTATATATATCTTTATGTATATGCGTTCACTTCAAAATAACAATGCTCAAGAGTGTACAATTTCTTTGAATTTTTCATGAAAATCTGAAATTGTTGTATAAGTAGAAGGCTAGACTATTTCAATGTATACTTAACCCTGAGGATGAAGGCTATTTAAGTAAGAAACGAGTGAGATTAAAATATGACGTCTTCCATCATTTATTTTGTGCATAAATAAAAACAAATCAATCAAGGGATATATTAAAAGTATTTGTCTTACCTTTCAACACGTAGTAATTCTGTCAACATTCTGTTCCTCATTTTGTCCTTCTTTGATAATTGAGCTCGAATCACATTAGGCATTAAAATAATCAATAATATCTGAAAAATGTAATACATAACTCAATATAATAACATGTTCCTTATTGCTCATATAACACATCTTTTAAAATGTCTTCTACTCATTTAACTTTGTTTTTTCCTTTTCTTTTCCGTTTTTATTATAAACATAAATAAACACAAAATCTATATTTGTTCTTTTCTGGATAAAAAAATCATACAAGCGTAAATGTGTGGATACGTATGGTTGAACAAGAATCCCATTTAACGAAGATCTAACGGTCCAGGCAAATATCTTTGCACAATTAAAATGATGAAGCCTTGTTACAAACCAATTTAGATAATTAGGCACTTTTAAAAGGTTTTTTGAAAAAAGAAATTGAAATCAATCTCTCCAAAATATAAACTAAGCAATAAAATGACATATTTGGAAAGTTTGAAGCAAGGACTATGGTTCAGTAATTTGTAACCTTCTGGAAATTCCTGTCTCAAATATTTCACGCCCCTTTATTATGCCTCTCACCGCGTACTTTATATTTTATATAAGATAAGGTGATACAATAATTATCTATATATAGACATGATAATTGTTACATTAAAATGATAATCATCATCAAAACGTCTATGTTAAAGGGCGTTGTGTTGATATAGGAAACAGTTAAAAGTTGTGAATTTCAGTTAGCCTATTCAGACCTCACATACCGATACTCAAAAGAAGTTTATGTTTTATCATTGGTCATGTTGAAAAAATTCCTCGGAGCAGAGCAAAACCGAAAGCAGACACAAGAAGCCTGATGGTAAACCGAGGTGGTTCGTTCCTATACTTTGCAGAAGTATTACAATGGTATATGCCTTTACAATACCAAATTGTGTGGTCCGTGGACATTAACTTGTCATCTATCAACCAACCAAAGTTTCAAATTTCATGTATCTATGGAAATAATTGCCAGTCAAACCCCCTCCCACCTGACAATTCCATCCACGAAGCCACTGGGGTGCGAGCACGAGACATAGAAGGCCTATCATAACTATATATCTTTTCTTTTAGCAGCGATACGACTTTAATCACATCTCAACATCTAAAATTTTGAATTTTAATGGGTACCTGATAAGATTCAGCGCTTGTTATCATTGCATTGGTTTGTCGCCGATGAACATTTTTAAGATTTTTTGAATATATTAGGCAATTAAAAGTGCATTAAATGGATAAGACTATTTGTGAAATTCTTTCCTCTAAATATTCTAATTTACAGAATAATATACATAATATGGTAACATTTGTTTTTAATTACGCCAACCTTAAAGGTGTACCAGATACAAATACTAAGGCTATAGAAAACCTCTTTTGAACCCCTTTGACATTTGAGTTGATTTACTTATTACTAATAGACAACTATGTGTCGGAGAATGTTAAAGCGCGTGAAAGAGGTAAATAATAATGTACTTATGATAACATCTTAACAACAATTAATTATATTATCGCTTCATTTAAACCCATATAGACCAATTTTTCTCAAGCCATAGGTTAAATTCTTAAAGGTTACGCCTATAGTTTACGTAAAGCATCTATAATGTATACCTATATACATTTTATATAATAAATTAATAAGCTTCATTAGTCACAACAAAGATACGTTTTCATATGGATGATAAAACATAGAGTCGATTTTTTCAATCAACCGCGTTAAACAGAAGGTGACAATGTATATAACTAAAATATTACGGACAAGATATCTCTCCAGGCAAGGTAATATATGCTCACTGACAGCTTTGACTTTGAATAAAAATATTTGGCAGTACAGTAACAATCACCAGTATGATATATTCAACCTTCAGTTTTACACTCCGATATTGAATAATATCTGTCAAAATCTGTCAAGAATTGTGCAATCTAGATTGTTGACGAGCTAGAAATTGAATGCATTTTCAAAAACAAGCAAAATAATTCATACTAAATATTTTTCTGAATTTCAATAGGGTTCATCCATGGGTGATATAAATTTATGAGAATTTCAAGAACAAGAGCAATAACTCGGTTCATCCTTGATTGATTACAAACAATCTTACAAAGTTTCCTCAAAATCGGTCAAGAATTGTGGCTTCTAGTGGACGGACGGACATGGGTGACGACAATATACGCCCCACCCCCAATTCATATGAGCGTATAAAAAACAATAGACAGAACGTCTGTAAATAATAAGCCATAATGTTTACACCTTTCACTCGAGGGTTCTGACTGGATGTATTCGCTGGCATATAATCCAACCAATTCATTAACGAGACTAGCTTGAAGGGAAGATATCATCAATATGAATATACTGTAATAATCTGTAATTAACTCCCTTTGCTCTTAAATTTTTCAATTAAATTGAAGCTCTTTGTCAATGAGATTATAACCTGAAAATTCTTCAATAATTTCAAATTCGCCTGTCACTTCAAAGACGGCATGTGTTTCACATTACATCGTAAATTTGCTTTGCTCATGAAACTTGAGTACTTATCGTTTATATCTCGAAAGCGAAATATTGCGTTCATTCTATATATTTATAGCTCTCCTGTATCATTTTTCACATTGCATATCCGTGTGTTTCGTCTGCAATTGTGTTCAATTGCGTTCATCAGAAATATTTAGAGACAAAATGGAAAAGTGCACTTGTTACTTGTTAAGGAAAGGTTGAGAATGGTAAGCTAATTATAAACTATTGTTCTATATTGGGAATCTTTCCCGAGTGAAATCAAAACTACTTCGAAATAAAACAAACATTTATAAAGTAAATGAAGAATTTAAACCAATTTGTTATTAGTTAAAACCGATAAAGTTTTGGACAATTTCTCTTGTAAGATATAACATCCATTTTAATGTTGCTTTGTTTTACGACGCAAAGATAAGATTTGTCGCAAAATATATTCAAATTAGATATTTGATTTCCACCCTTAACATAAAGAATGCAATCTAATTGAAATTTATTTCTTTTTTCAAATATTATTGCCTCAACTGTAATCTTACAAGTTTTCTACTTCCGTTCTAATAACGTTATATTTTGACCAATCAAAGCGTGTAATGAAAGACCGTTTCTTGGTGACAATTACGAATCGTGGGAGACCGAAAGCGAAAATAAACGGACAGATAGATCATAACATGCCGAAAATTTGCGTCCACAAAGAAAGATGTGGGAGTATAACGTTATGAAATTTGCTTGGGTATAATAATATTATAATGGACTAGACGGTGTAAACGATGCGATCATAATAAACTCCCACGGAAACAATTAAATATTTATGAGATTTTTGTCGTTTTAAATGTTATTTTTAATGTTTTTTACAGTTTGAAGTACTTGTTAAGTTCATTATGATATAGGCTATGATAATAAAGAGAATCTGACACTTGTTCATAAACGTAATATTTACATCTCTTAAATCCAATTAATGTAAACATTACTGACAAATTCATACAGTTATATGGATATATAATAGTCAAAGAATTTCTGCTACTCATAACTTTCTATACGCAGTGGCGGTGCCAGTTATGATACAGGGCGGTGGGGCTGGTTGATTTTAGGGAATAGACTGTACCTTCAATTTAACCCTTCATTTTCAACAAAAAAGAAGCTTTCAATAAGTCATTGACTACAAATATGTGTCAGACTGCACCAAAGTTATTCCACTTTACAAAAACTTTCTTGGAGAAATTCTCCCAGACTCTCCATTAGATGCCTGCACCTATGGCGCTTCTACATAGCTGTCGCATTTTAAATTCAATCTCCACCGTTTTGTGCAAAGTATTGAAAGTGTTATGACGATTTGCGTGAAGCAACTTGAAGATTTGATTCAAACAATAGCCAGTCGCTTTCCATAGTTAAAACATATCAAAGTCACTCGCCCCCTTTCAAATTATTTATTTATTCCTCACTGATACCGCTCGAGGCAAATATTAGCAGACACAATAACGCGTAGTTCTTTTGACCAACAATTAAAAGACATTTCTCAATACACATTATTCTCTTTATCAATTATTATTTTATTTATCAAGTCTAGCGGACTGTTTATTACTGATATAATATTCACAGCTGAAAGAAAACAATACAATTAGCTACTGCTCATTTACCTATCGTGTAAAAAGCCCGCTAAACAGAATGAATAGAAGTCTGAAGTTACGTTGAAGTTACGTCTCAGGTGCTAACAACGTCTGTTAAGAAACCTATATATGCGGAGCATTCGGAAATATTTTAATACTGGTATATATTATATACCGTGTACATAACAAAAGCAAACTCTGAATATTCCCCATAGCACAAACCTACGTTCCCCTCTTCCCCACACATACAAATACTTATCCACTATCTCACCCCCATCTTATTCAATGATTCATCGAAACGGCACTGTGTAGTCTCGAGATGAAGCCAACTTGATCATTCAAGAAGGCATGGAATGACAAAGCCAGCTGGTAAGAGTAAGAACTGTCTTTCCAATGCATTCGTCTCTGAACGCCTTGCAAGGTATGTGCATAACCACATTGGCCTACGATTTCGAACTATACAGAGCGATCTTTATCGTGCACAACTGAAAATGACTGAAAACTGATACGGAAGGCAGTAAGGAATAATAAGAAAGACTAGGACTACTATATTTCTGTAAATAACGTTACAGTCTTATCTAGTTTAATTCAATATTTCGAAATTCAGATCAATTTCAATTTAAATCAAATAATAAAACTAGACATCACGTTTCGTCAAAAAAGTTTTGACTTCATCAGGAAAAGAAACAATTTTTAAAACAATTTAACTTAAAGTCACTTCAGGTATTTCGTTATGTTACTATACAAAATCTGGAAACCTATATATACTGATAAATAATACAGATACAGCGGAAATTAGATTCTAGACGTCTAAAATACTTCCACAAAGTATAAGATAAATATATAACAACAGAACACAATTGTTTCTAATGTCGTTGCTAGTGCTTTTTTTCACAATGATTCAGCAACCAGCAAAATCTCGAATCCACTTCTTGCTAGAGAGCTATCAACGCAGCCTCCAGACAATATAGAAAGGAAAGGGACCTAGTATCTTTCCTTTTCACAAAATATCAAATTCTGTAGCCTTGAAGAAGATTTAAAAAAATACAGGCTTCCAGTCAAACCGATCTTATCTAACAAGATTTCTTAAAATTTGGAAAACATTAAGGCGTCTATCAGGTGCAGGTGTCTGATTTTTCTTAACAAAAGTTTTATGTATCTTGAAAACGTAAATTACTTTGTGATCACTCTGTGAAAAAAATGAACTTTGTGTTATAGCTCGAGTGATATTTATTTGTCTTTCCCTGTGTTCGTGTTAATTGCTTTTTATTTTCAGAGATTCCAAGCGGCTAATAGTATTTATTTAGTTTGTTTAACACCCATGAACCGATGGCATTCATGCACAAGATCCCTTGGGCGTTTTCCCGTTTAACATTTGAGTTAACGTCAATTTTTCCAAACTAAAAATGGATACGGGTGTGCATAATATTCACAATTGTATTATATTTATTTCGATAAATAATAAATGAATGAAATGAAGTTTGTACGTCACAAGTACTGTAGACCTAAATCAGACTGACGCTATGCATTGTACAATTGAGTGAAAACTGCCACTCGCAATCTTTTCCCCTTTCACAATAAAGTATAGAAAAGCTCCATTTTCTTAAAACTTTGTAAAAAAACAATTGATTTTCGAAACCTTGCATCATTACGTTCGTACTTTTAATATTTCGAAAATCATAAGTAACAAAATGTAACAAACGTTTGTTGGATAGTCAATTGGATTGTAATTATCTTTCTAAAATGTTCCTAACCTCTCAGTGGAAACTGTTCAGAAATCTGTTATATAACTATGAGAAAGTTCACAAAGTTTCTGATAAATTTATAGTAGTAGGCCTAATATAGTAATTTTCAGATGTTATGATTTGCATTTGTTGAAGAAAAGAAGTGGAAAAAAAATATTGAAGTAACTTACCCCTAAATATAAATACATGCGCATAGTTTCTTCATGGGCAGTATTCCAACAAACTACCATCTGATGTGATTTTTTTCGTAAAAGTAATCAAAAGTGGGCGTCCTTGGTTGAAAAGTCTCACACTCAAAAATTGTATTATTTCTACGTGGATATTTTATGGACATATTGTTAAGAGCACACTCTTGCAGCGTCATATATGATTAGTAACATCTACTCGTAGGAGTCAAGTTTGAAATGTGATCAAGTACTGCAAAATTCCAATTCGTTATTTCCGCGTGATCCAACTCTTTGGACTGTCTTTCATACCAGTGAAATTATTTTCCCACTTGGTCTGTGAAAAGAGTGGAAACGTATATAGATTGTTATATATTATGACTGCAAATAAAAGTAGTGGGAGTATAGATCTACTGTAGAATAGTATCGATTGTTCAAACAGTCTTTTGATTAGCTTTTAGCAAGGTAGTATAATTGCTAAAAATGACAATAAAGTTGCTAATTAGTAACAAATTTATTGATAAGCAAATTAGTATTATCAAATCATTATTAGTGATAATATCACAAACAGTCAAATTAGTCATATAGATATTATATCTTCAATAATTTTCAATGCAATTCGTATGCGATTAGGATGCTAGTGACGGAAGCAGCTGCTATAAGCATCTTGGCGATTTAAATTCTCGGCCAATCAGAATAGTCCTAGCAAGCAATACCCGGATAAGTTAGGTCTGTCTGTCCGCAATTTCTATCGCTGCCGTCTGATAATTCACATGCTGATGACACGTGTTTCAGAAACTCAATTCAGCCTGTTTTTGACCTAATCTCCATTATAAACACGGTTCAATTTAAGCGGTATCGAGTAGCAATTTGAGATTCAACTCGACCTGCGGAGTCTAGAGCCAGAACACTTTCAATTGCTTTAGATTTTTTTTTATCAAAAGCTAATCAAAATTGAAATTGATTAGCCAAAACTGAAATTTGTGTGATAAATATCTAATCGTATATTTCAATCTAAATTGAACCTTGCGAACAAAGAAAGTGAAGTCACTAGTCTTTGGGCAACCTTTTGGGTTACACAAATTCTGATAAAAAATCGGGAAAGGATTTGTGCTTATTAAACTCGAAGCCCGAGCATTTGATTTTTTTGGGGTTCAAGTATGTATTTTGGGACACGTAAGATATCCTTTTTAAGGTCATAATTTGTGTTTTCTGTCCTGCACTACTTTGTATAAGTTATCATTCGGCAACGCTCGGTAGCCGAGTCGGCTACGAATAAAACGAATCTTTGTTCCTCAAGTCTTCTGGAGTTTATCGAATGATTTCTAATGCTGACAATTTATTTACGAACGCTTGGCTATCATCGACCATGCTCCCTACGCTGTCGAAACTTGCAAAAACACGTGTTCAATCAAGTATAAGGGTAAACATAGAAACAAATTTTGAGTAAGGTCTCCGTCACACGTCAGCAATTGCAAATTTTGGCCTTTCTTGTTGTCGATCTAGAAAAGCTTCACACTCTTCGGACAATATGAGCTATTTCACTGGTAAAGAAAGGCCCGAGGCCATAAAACAGAATTGACTTACGTTCTCCTGACATTCGAAGTCAAAGCCATATTTTTGTCTTTTCTGACCTGGAATTACATCTTGTGTAGGCCTGCATTATTTCTGAAAAAAAAAACAACAACTCATCATTAGGCCTATCAGGAACCTTTGACTATCAGCATGACCACATTTGGCTTCTGGAATTTTTAATGTAACTTTGGTAGGCCTATCTTCCCTATCAGCATAGTTGCTGACGTGGGCTTGGGTGTAGGCTATAGTTAAACTGCTATGTAGGACTAGTTTCAACATCGAGCCCGGCTATACCAGTTCCAGGTTTGATAACTTAGCGTCTATGTACTCTTGTAATTCAGCGATTTGCGCCATTATTTTACTAATGAAATTTTTAGGAACGGGAACTGCAGCGCCCAGCGGCTTGTTATGCTTCATGGAGCCAAGTTTTCATCGATTTTGAGCGTAAATTCTGTCTAGGCAATGGAGTAGCTGTCATTTGGTAATTAGCCTGTCAAAGTATCGAACTGAAAGCTATCCATTGGTTGTAAATTATCATAAAATGAAAAAAAATATATATACTTAAGTTGAAGACCTTTTGCTGTGGCGCCATTTAGGCTAAGCTAAAATTACCTCGAATGGAGGAGAGCGAATTTTTCCTCATTTTGGTAATTAATTGTTTAATGAAACGAAATAATATATCAAAACGGGTATCAACGAGTGCCTTACATGTCTGGTATACTGTCTGGCCCAACAAAATCTTTTTCTCTCTGATCACTAAGCAAACGAAGCACACATTGACAAGCCGTAACTTGCATCAGGATTATAGTTTAAACACAGATGCCGCTTTTAAGGAATATTCGCCGAATCGTGATGAGATCTGATTTTGGACTTAGACATTTGCGACGCAATTAACCCATAGATGTGTCTAGAGTCTGTTTGAAGGGCTGAAGATGAATATACAGAGGTGCTTAAAAGAAAACACGAAAACCTGCTTAAAACGTGCTAGGTAATATAAATAACCCCAATATCTAAACAATCATCTTTAATCGACATTAAGGGATAGACACGCAACATTTCGACAATTTACATGGTCATTCACCTGACATTCAGACAGAAACAGAGTTGTATTTACGTTCTGTAAACTAATCGGGCTAAATGTTAGTGTAAACGAGATGATTTGCTTGACACTTGATAATGTATTAATGGTTATTTCTGTAACATTAACAAGAATTAAAGGATGTAATTATGAATATGTTTATTAATCATATCATATACAAATTTCCATTATCCGGACTTTCCGGATTTTAATATTGTTTATTTTAATCTTAGTATCATTAAACGTGTCCTTTCACATTCAGGTGTCCTTTTATTATCAAATATTTCTCATGTTTCTTCATATCTCGCAGTTAACGAAGTGTAAGTCCATAGACATTATCGCTATCAGACTTTACTCTTGATACAGGGACATTTTCGGGGATTGATTTGGGTCAAGTATATAATTCTGAGACCAAGGTACGATTGGTCAAACGGATGTTAAACATTTAAGGTCATAGCTCAATGGAGGCAAATGCCTCACTTTTGAAACGTTTTTTTCACAAAATGCCTCACTTTTGAACTTTTTTGAGCTACGGCCTTGCAAATTTCCTTTATTCATAACACTTTTCTGAAAAAAATATGTTTAATAATGCAAACTATTATTTACATCATTGCGTGTCACTACCAATGACTATATACCGTTATATTGGTAATCTACATTTGACGAGAAATTTACTAAATGTCTTAAATTTGAACACGATAATGCATGGTTAGGGTTAACCCCATCCCCCCCACCCAGATCATTTTAAAAATCAGCTAATGGTGAATTAATACAGAGCAATGATTATAACACCTTTAATGGACAATTATTTCAGGCTTAGAAACTCCTACATCTGAAAGAAATATTATATGAGAGACGGTGTGTTTATTACATTCTCATAATTTCCTCTTAATACGTGGATAATGATAAATTTACCTGTCGCTAATGATATTATCGCTTATATACGTCATAATAACCCTCTGATACTCCCATTACATTTATATTTTTGTTTATTGATAAGTTCGTGGAAATATTGATAGTGATTAATCGCCATGCTCAAAGCGACCATTTATTTTACCAACAAGATCAAACTTAATCAGAGACTATATACAATGAAAAACATAAAACATTTTATCTTGCGGGTGTTGATATTTTGGAATTGAATATAAATCATTTTCATTGATTTAGCCTATTGTTTTGTTTGTTCTCCTATTGGCGTTCATTAAGCTACTAGAAATAGGATACGGCGACTGACTTGCCGATCCTAAAAGTACATTAATCAGATAAGGGTATTTTAATATTGTAAGTGAAATGACGTTGTGACAGCTCCCACGTGCATTTGAATAAATTCCTATTTTACAAGTTCTTGTAATATAAATAATATATATCTATGATGGACGTATAACACAATGATTAGTAAGTTTGACGTATCCACTAAATTGGAGCAGTGGAATAACTGTGTTTTTTTTTTATGTAAATGATTTATTGATGGTTTCCAGAAATTCAATAATACTTAGGTGGTATTGTGAAGTAGGAGTCAATTGGCGATTGGATCCGACGCTGATTGACCGACTTCAGTAACTGTGATCAACTTGATGGTCGCAAATTTAGACTACCAAAGTCAACGATAAGACTCGTGAAAAAAGACAATTTGGTGACAGCTGCAATATTTTGTCATCTTTCGCAGATGCTGACAGAATAGCATTAGGGAAAGTTGAAAGTGATTTCATAATATGTTAGGAATTAATTTTTTTTACGATGAACTCTCTCGACTGAGTCAAAATATATGAAAATGGATTCTCAACCTAATTGACTTGGTTGAAACAAATATTTTGCTCTACATAGTTCCAGTAATGGGACATGAATTTAATCTCTTAACAGTCATTGATAGCTTGACTGATCCTGTTTGTGGAACAGGAGATTAGCGGATTAAACTTTTGAAATAATACTATGACTATGACTAACTAAATTACTACAGTCCATAGTATACGCCCACCTATAGTACAATTCATAGCACCCTTGGGTAAAATTTGTCACATACAAACCTTTTTCTATATGGCCACATTGTCCAGCCTGAAGGGAAGATGAATGGTGTCGATGGTCATTTGGACCCTAGGGAAGGAGTATTTTGGTTTTTTGGATTAGATTCTTGTGATGATACAATATTCTTCAGTAATGATACAGAACTCTTCTGTGGTGACACAGTGATCTTCGATGATGATATGGTAGACTGATACAATATTCTTCAGTGATGATACACTGGTCTTCTGTGATGATACAGTAGTCTTCTGTGATGATACAAAAGAGTTCGATGAAGTCTTTTATCATAGAAAGATATTCTGTGTCTTTTCAGAGGTCAATGCAATACAGTAGTTTAGGATGCCAATTTTTCATTTTATTCGATAGCTTAAAGATGGCATTTCTTAAATGATCTATGCCCTATGAAGATTATCTTATTAGAAGTGGGAGTTGGCCACTTTTCTATCCTAGACAACACCTTCGGATTGTATTGAAACGAAAGTAATTACTTTTTTAAATTTGCCTTAAAATAAATATTCAGGTTTTTTTAAACAAAATAATAAGAGAACAATCAAAACTATAAACAGACAACCTAAAGTACATAGTAGGACTTCAAATGTAGACAGTCGTAGGTTTAACAATAAATAAAAATAAAACGTTTCAGTTACCAATATTTAAGAGCAGAATATATACCATGTTATTGCCCGTACTAGGAATGACTCACTTCCTGTGCTTTCATTCCTTGTAGGTGTCTAATATATTTTTGTTGGTTTTGTACGCAACACCGGATGTCTTTACTAGACAGATCCTTGACATATTTTAATATATTTTAAGTTTAACATATTCAAATGGATCTAATTGATTTAGGCTTTCATCCTTGAAGTTAACAATTATATATCTCAACAAACTGTGCTACTGTCTGTGACCGTAAGTTGGGTCGTATAGTTCAAATTCCGTTCTTTTTTATGAGTATCTTCGGAGAGTACTGGATGACATAAAGGGTACCAGTCCACACCAAGATTGTTTTGGTGGGAACTGACAGGTTTTAGCCTTATCTTATCTATTTAAGACATAATATGCATGTCAAAACACCAGCGTGAATAACTTGTATCAAGGAACAGGTAGGTTATGTTAATGGCTATTTCATAAGAGGAATTAAAATAGAAGTAAAATTAAAGGTAAATGCAGTTTGTGTCCTTGTAAAGTATTAGATTGAATAGTCAAATAGAAATTTATGCAAGATTAATGGACAATGAGTTCATCTGACTACCCAGATGTGCATTGGATGAGGTCGTTGTGGTTGAAGCCTGGATTTCTGTCTTTCAGACATTGGTCATGAGCCGTTGTACACCATTATCAGTCCTTGTACTGATCCTTGCAGCAGCTGTTCAGGCATGTCCAGTGCAACATCCATGTTATTGTGGTGCCATCATACACTGTAACCGACTTCAGCTGACTCAAGTACCACCAATAACAGCTTCCGATAATCTATACACTGTATTTGACATTTCTCATAATAACATCTCTCAAATTCAACAAGATGCATTCAAGGGACTGAAAATTTCCGTGTTGGAAATAACAAATAACCCCATTTCGACTGTTGAAGAAGGTGGTTTTGGTGGTCTGGAACATTATCTGAAACGGTTGTTGGTATCTCATACCACTTTGAAGAGTCTACCAAAGTCGATGGGAAATCTGCAACAACTAGATAGACTAGATATTGGATTTAATCAAATTACGTCAATACCAGATGAAGTATTCCAAGGAATAGGAAACAGTTTACAGGTCCTCAATTTACAAGATACGCAAATGACACAATGGCCACAAGGAATGCAGCACATGAAATTTTTAACGCAGTTGGATATATCTTTCAACCACTTTGGACAAATACCAAATGGTGCTTTTGGCGCAATGGCATCAACTCTGGAATATCTTAATTTGGAACAATGTTCTTTAACAACCTTTCCAGCTGCTGTAAACGATCTGAAAGTTCTCAAAGAGCTGAATTTAGCTGGAAATCCTTTGATATCTATTCCTGATTCATCTTTCGGTGCTGATCTCGTCGCATCTTTAAATGTTCTCGATATATCCAATACTGGTTTGACTGCTTCCCCTTCTGGAATTAAAGACCTAACAAGTATAACGAAGTTGTCCATGGGAAACAATAACATAGTTACTATTGCTGATGGTTTACTGGCTGGAATGAATGAGACCATACAAGAACTCGATATTAGCAACTGTAGTCTCATCAACGTCCCGATAGCAACCTTCGTTAATCAGAAGTCCATCAATAAGCTTGACATGTCCAACAATCGTCTCCAACTTCTGGATAATTTTGCCTTCAGTCAGTTGGAAAGTGTTCAGGAAATAAAGCTGGACAATAACCCAATAGTTAATGTTAAGTCTTCAGCATTTGAAAGATGTGACAAACTGGCTCGAATTTCTTTCAGGGGCTGCTCCCTGAGGAACGTACCAGGCGGTTCATTGGGTAGAGCTAAAAGTTTGGAATTTGTCGACCTTTCCCACAACACAATTAGAAGTTTAACTGATCAGGTATTTCCAAGCTTAACACAGCTCAGGACTGTAAATCTTACGGGAAACTTTCTGGGTACGATATCTAGACAGGCTTTTGAATTACTGGAATCTACGGAGACAATTTATATGGACAGATGTGGACTAGTAGACGTTCCAAGGGGTATTCAGTCTGCTCCCAAACTCCGTGAAGTTATACTGTACGACAATAACATCGCTTGTGATTGTGAATTGAAATGGATCTTATCTTGGAAAGAAGCTGCGGGATTAATTCCAAGGATATTTGGTAGTTGCAGCGAATCCAACGTTACTCTAGACCATTATACAAGATATGAACTTCAACATTGCCCCTAACTACATGATATAAATATCATCTATAGCACAAACCTATGGGGATATTGGTTGTGTTTTTTTATCTGTAATTATTTGTCTATTAATGTATAAACTGATCTCAATCTTCGAAATATAAAGAAATGAATGATTTTTAAAATCGTAATAAACTAATATCAGAAGATACAATAAAAAGTACATTATGCATGGCATCCTTGTTTTAGAATTATGTGATACCTGAAGGTTCGGGTACTTTATTAACCTCCCTAATTTAACCTTGGCCGTCATTTCCAGTTTGCTCTCAATTATGGTGTTCTATATAAATAATTTCAATATGTCACGTGTTGTGTGGGTTAAGGATCTATGGACAGCAAATTGAAAAGAGTAGTCTGATGCAGCTGTTTTTGCAAATTTCTCTCATTGTACACTACATGGCTTTCCTGTCTTCTAATATCTCATTAGGAGCAGAAGTCTAGGTCAGTTGCTAAATATGTTTACAAACAAGATCAAAAGGAAATTAAATGCCTTGACAAAGATTCCAAAAAATATACCACATTGAAATGATGACATTGTCAGACAAAATCTAAGAGCAATAATACAAAATACATACCACAAAATATTATCAAGCTGTAACAGATCTCATTTTGATAAAGTTTCATCTAAATTGAATAGAATTCTAACCGCTTCAGTTTGAGTTCTTACTAAATCAAGACAAAATTGGTAACTCAAAACTCTTTAACCTTCAAATCATCAACTTCCAACTTGGTTCAGATCTCCAAAACATACTAAGTTTCATCAAAATTATAGCTTCTATTGAGCTAAAAATAAAAAACAAAAATTATTTAACAGCAACAGACGGATAAGGGCATTTAAAAAAATCACTAATTAAATAAAAGTCATTATATATTATATAAGTAACACATAGATATAAAAAGTAAAAAAGGACAAAATAGAGTTGCACTTCAGAATGCAGAAAAAATATTGCAGACATTGTTGGACAGAATCACTCATAATTACAAACTGATACAAATATATTATATAAATTGATTTACAATCTCAATTACAAACAGATAAATGGACGGAATGTATATTATATTGAGCATTAGAAAAATACAAATAAAATGCAACCAGCGCATTCACAGTACATCACAAAAATCAAATATTTTATAGAAAATAAAATGAATACCAAAACTAATATATATTTTTAAAAAATGGAAAAATATTCTTTGGTGCCACTTGAAAACAGGCAAATTGAAAAACTGAGAAAAATGTTCCAAAAGAAAATTCATTTGTATTTAAAAGAGCACTTACAAGAAATGAAAGGAAAATGACAATATACAAAAAATTTAGTCCTCAAAATAATTAGAATAAAAAACATTCAAAAATAAAACACAAATATATTTGATTTTGGACGGATGAACACAATTAAATTATAAATTTTATATATTTATATAATACAAATTTATATAATCATTTTTATAAACAAAAATTTCAACATTTTATAACAAGATTTATAACATCTTTTATAAAACATAGCATATGAAAATATATCATTGGTATAAAATTTCATAAATACTTTCATTAGGGGTCCATAAATATATCACAGTTAAAAAGAAACTTATAGTTTCTGACAAATACTTAATCATACAGCAAGTTTTTATCACTGTCATAAAAATACTGGTATTTAAAGTTGTTGCTTACAAATGCATATCTTGCCAAAATGGCTCGCCATATGATATCATTAGCCTTGTTTTGAAAAATTCTGCACTTATCCTATAAATAATGTTTGCAGTTGGATACTTCAATTAGTTTTTTCAAGCAGGTTCTTATTAATAAGGCCATAAAATAAATTGTGATATTATTGCATGGTAGCGTGGGAATAACAAAAAAAATCACTCTATTTCATAGAATTAATTGCACTGGTAATTTTGGAAAATTACAGTTTATTTTGGCCTGTTCAATTTAAATTTTGTTTACTTCTTAGATTTCAACACATCTTCTAAAGCAGTTGAAGTGAACTGCAAATCCTTGAATTTTTCACAAATTTTGGATTTCTCCATTTCCAGTTTGGTTAGTAATTTTTTGCTGTCTGCCAATTTTTGAACTGCAATGTGATGAAGTTCAACATGGTGTTCCTTTTCTTTGCCTTTTGATTTGTCAGTTAATTCCATTTCTGATATGATTTCTTCCTCAAGTTTCTTTATATGGTCTGATGTATCGAGAATTTGTCGGGTCACATTGGAGAAATCAACCAGTAAATCATCATAGTCATCCTAAAATATACAGAAATATTTGATAACACTCTTTGTTATTGGTAAATATAATAGTGCATTGGTTTTATTTAAAATTATTGTGCTGGATCTTATATTGAAATTGAACAGGAATAGATCAATGGATACACTTTATTTATGAATTTGAACAGATATAGATCAGTTTGTACAAATTATTTATCAATTTGAACAGGAATAGATCAGTTTGTACAAGTGAATTATGAATTTTAACAGGAAAAGATCAGTTTGTACAAGTTATTTATCAATTTGAACAGGAATAGATCAGTTTGTACAAGTTATTTATGAATTTTAACAGGAAAAGATCAGTTTGTACAAGTTATTTATCAATTTGAACAGGTATAGATCAGTTTGTACAACTTATTTACAAATTTTAACAGGAAAAGATCAGTTTGTACAAGTTATTTATCAATTTGAACAGGAATAGATCAGTTTGTACAAGTTATTTATGAATTTTAACAGGAAAAGATCAGTTTGTACAAGTTATTTATCAATTTGAACAGGTATAGATCAGTTTGTACAAGTTATATATCAATTTGAACAGGAATAGATCAGTTTGTACAATTTATTTACGAATTTGAACAGGAATAGATCAGTTTGTACAAGTTATTTATGAATTTTAACAGGAAAAGATCAGTTTGTACAAGTTATTTATCAATTTGAACAGGAATAGATCAGTTTGTACATTTAATTTATGAATTTGAACAGGTATAGATCAGTTTGTACATTTAATTTATGAATTTGAACAGGTACAGATCAGTTTGTACAACTTGTACAACTTATTTACAAATTTTAACAGGAATAGATCAGTTTGTACAAGTTATTTATCAATTTTAACAGGAATAGATCAGTTTGCACAACTTATTTACAAATTTTAACAGGAATAGATCAGTTTGCACAACTTATTTACAAATTTTAACAGGAAAAGATCAGTTTGTACAAGTTATTTATCAATTTGAACAGGAATAGATCAGTTTGTACAACTTATTTACAAATTTTAACAGGAATAGATCAGTTTGCACAACTTATTTACAAATTTTAACAGGAATAGATCAGTTTGCACAACTTATTTACAAATTTTAACAGGAATAGATCAGTTTGTACAACTTATTTACAAATTTTAACAGGAATAGATCAGATAGTAAGTATATTTCCAAATGTTACGATGGCTTGAATGAAGTTTCATTGAAGCAGTTGACATAACAAAAACAAATTTTTTAAAGCTTCAAGCCATGATAAGGTCAAGAGATTACATTGGTATCAAAATCAGACATTTAAAGGTCAATTTTAATACAATACACTAGGCCTGAATGAATGGAGAAAGGTGCATTAAATTTTTCAATTCAACGTCTTAACATGTGAGTCACACAATTCTTTTGACTTTTAAATGTAGTAAAAGCCAATTTCCTTGTCTGCCATTCTGAAGTGCATCATTGACAGGAGGAACCTGGTTGGAAAATATTGTCTTTACCCATGGACAAACGAACGAAAAGAGACACAGAATTACTAATTAGAGACCACATAGATAAGATATTTATTTATTTGTTTACCTGTTTTTGTTGTTCAGGTGATACACTAGAGCTTGTTTGACTATCAGTCTGTTCACTATGTTGTTGATTGTTTATATAGGAATTCCACAAGGCTGTACCAGACATGTTAGACATGATATAACTTGGTTTACTTTTAGAACTTGATGGTACATCTACAAAACAGTATTAGTTTCATCATTATGTGCAATTAAGGACAGCCATGAAAGATTGCTTTGATTCTCAACTGTTGCACTTAGGGATGCAAATCCTATATAAAGACCGTAGTTTACCATTTTTGGAGGTTGATTTTGGTCAGTGAGCAGTGAAAACTGTTACTGATTAGCTCAGCGAAAAAAATTCCTAAGTTTCTAAGGCTAAGGTATGATTGGTGAAACAGATGGCGAATGTGTCCCTTAACTGTACCCACCTTCAAGAGTATATTTCTGTGTTAACTGTGTTATTTGGTTGTCTACAGAGTAAGTAGAACCTTGAGCTGTACTCTGTTTTAATTTATCTTCTAAATCACCTAAACTCTGATGTAGCTTATTATTCTTGGTATAGTTACAGTATTTCTCTAATCTAAAATAGCAAAAAATAATCCACACTTGAGTATCAGTACTGAATGATCACTAGCTCTTAATCAAAAGGACAGAATCCAACAAATTCAAAACAGCAGGTGGCATTTTAATATGAGAAAACGGTCAGGTAAATCAAGACTTTGCGGGCAAACCAGACATCAATTTTTTATTTTGAAAAGCTGTACAGCTGCAAATGGTTTTCGAAACAAATATTTGGACGACTTTTACTGTATGAGTTTTAAAGGGACATTCAGCTTTTTTTTAATAGGTCAAATATTTTTTGCTTAATTTTGTGAAAACTATGAACCAAACTCTAAAGAAATGTGTCCTTTATTGTATCTGAAAGGTTTAACTAAAGAAAATTGGCTGTTAATTTTTTTCGATTTCGAAGTATGACCTGTATCGTAAGAGATGATCGTCTCTTTCCTCCGTGATAGAGGGGATATAAAGGGTAATAGAAATTAAAAGTATCATTGTATTTAAGTCACACCTACCTGTCTTCTAATTTATCTTTATTGAATTTAGCTCCTTTTATATCAGTTCCAGTATGTATCTTCACATCTACTAAATCATCCACCACACTTGCTTTCATGGTTTCATTGTCTTTCTGTCCAAATATAGATTGTATCAGTTTATTAGCTGCATCTATATCACCTGGCACTGGGGCTACAGCTAATTTTTGAGCTGTGGTAGAAGTTTGTTGGTACCGAGCGAAGAATAAGTCATTACATAGGACACTAATAGCACGTTGATATTCTCTGGTAAAATCTGGGTCATTATCATTGGTTAGGTCACCTGCAAATAACAGTAAACAA